TAAATATAGCACGGCGATACTGTATGCCGCCAGCAGCGGGAAATCAGAACTAGGCGCATAAGTGAACTGCCAACTCGCAATAATGTTTCAGCGCTTAAATGTAGATGCGCGCTTTGAAACTCATCCAACAGATGCGCACGTGTACAGCATAATGGACTCGTGGACGGGCAAGTGGCGGTCAACGTGATTTGAGCTGGGGGAGGGAGAAGGGGGATGCAACATACAACCGCGGGGGGAGGGGGGGGGGGTGGGAGGAAACCCGAATTTCTTGCCCAGGCCATAGTGAAAGCCTAACATAATGATTTCGCCATCTTGGGAGTCATGTTGGCCCCTGAGTTCACCAGTGATCGGACCCGCCAAAGCCTAACGGGCTTCTACGACAAAGGTTGAACATTGTGTAAACGCATAGCACGACAATCGGTACTATCGGCTAGAGGGCCGCATAAATTGTACCATAGTTTTAATCACTTGGACGGCATAGTTCTCTGCCTAGAAATCAGCTGTGCCCAGCAAGACCCTGGATGCAACCAAATGGTTAAAGTGACACCACTTCTATCCTAAGTGAAAACAGGAAGAAACATGGCATCTAAAAGTCTCCTCTGCCCAGGGTAGAAGAGATTCCGGGTGCCCGGTTAGAGCGAAATCCTGTACAGAAATTGCATCACAAGGCTAAAATACATACTAGATGTCTGAGTGTGAGCTAGATCTTCAGCCTGTTTTGAACATTTGGCGGCCTGTAGCTGAAGTTAACGCAGCGCGGATGCTACAACAGTGGTGCATTCAAGGTGTAAATGAATGTTACGTCAATATTTTTTGCAAGATTCTCAACGAGTTGCAAGCTGCATTACACATACAGCATGCATCGGCTGTTGGCAAACAATTGATCTTCCGTACGTAGCCGGTCAGAACGCCCAGCACCTCCCGGCCTCGACCGCGCAGCTTTCTACTCGGGGACCCGGTATGTTACCTGCTGCGCCACGGATGCCGCCCGTTGTCGCTCAAAAATCGGAAAATTCACGACGCGCCGTGTATGAAATCTGTAGCCCGATACAACGTGAAGGTTCGACTTCTGTAGAACGAAAAGTGTTAATGGAGCAACCAAAGAAAATTAAACAATATCTATTCTGGTGCTGCGCTGACCGAAATTGGCAATATAGAATTCGATCCCTGGCCTGCGAGAACCAGGCCATTGACATCTGAACATTATGGGATAGAAGGAAAAGTACGCCATGGAGCAACTGTGCTGCCAACGTGCTTCGGTGGGGACCGTCCCCCGCCTACACAACAGACATCTCACCGGAGAACAGTGCAGGGGTAGTTCTGCTCGTCTGCTTTTCCATCCTGGTACCAGCACCGCCCTCAGTAGAACACTCCTAAACCAGTCTGCTCAAACGGAGTCCACCCGCCACCACTGTCGTGTCGTTAATCATTTTGACGAAGTGGTTTTGTGGAGTAATTTCGCTACGACACGACTGAGTGGACCTCCGCCATAAACGTAAATGTCCAGCGTCCTGCCTTGCCACGTTAGGTCCAAGCGAATACGGTGGTAATAAGCGTTCTTGAAGTCTCTCAGAAATGGTCTTTGATCAGACATATCGATCGATCATATGCTCACTGCCTAATGCACTGTACACTCATGAACGATAATGATGGACTTCCCCAAAGTAACCAGCTTCCGCGTACAGTCTCGAAAACAGCAGCTCTAGGGGCCATACCTCCTGGCTCTGACGCGTCAGCGGACAACGAACTAGCCTCTGACTGCTCAAGACGAGTCGCGTCGCCGCTCTGCTTACAATATAATTAGTCCCGGCAAACCGCAACCTGAGCGGACCTCAGGCTGTCAACACACCAACCCGCGGAGACCTCAGGCTGTCAACGCACCAAAGCGCGGAGACTTCAGGCTGTCAACACACCAAAGCGCGGAGACCTCAGGCTGTCAACAGGCTAAACCGCGGAGACTTCAGGCTGTCAACACACCAAAGCGTGGAGACCTCAGGCTGTCAACACACCAAAGCGCGGAGACTTCAGGCTGTCAACAGGCAAAACCACGGAGACTTCAGGCTGTCAACACACCAAAGCGCGGAGACCTCAGGCTGTCAACAGGCTAAACCACGGAGACTTCAGGCTGTCAACACACCAAAGCGCGGAGACCTCAGGCTGTCAACAGGCTAAACCACGGAGACTTCAGGCTGTCAACACACCAAAGCGCGGAGACCTCAGGCTGTCAACAGGCTAAACCACGGAGACTTCAGGCTGTCAACACACCAAAGCGCGGAGACCTCAGGCTGTCAACAGGCTAAACCGCGGAGACTTCAGGCTGTCAACACACCAAAGCGCGGAGACCTCAGGCTGTCAACAGGCTAAACCACGGAGACTTCAGGCTGTCAACACACCAAAGCGCGGAGACCTCAGGCTGTCAACAGGCTAAACCGCGGGGACTTCAGGCTGTCAACAGGTCAAGCTGCGAGGACCTCAAGCTGTCAACATGCCAAAGCTCGGGGACCTCAGGCTGTCAACAGACCAACCCACGGGGACCTCAAGCTGTCAACAGGTCAAGCCGCGAGGACCTCAAGCTGTCAACATGCCAAGCGCGGGGACTTCAGGCTGTCAACATGCCAAAGCGCGGGGACCTCAAGCTGTCAACAGATCAACCCGCGGGGACCTCAGGCTGTCACCAGACCAACCGCGGAAACCTCAGACTGTCAACAGACCAGCCCGCGGGGACCTCAAGCTGTCAACAGATCAAACCTCGGAGACCTCAAGCTGTCAACAGGCCAAACCGCGGAGGCCTTAAGCTATCAATAGGCCAAACCGCCGGGACCTCAGGCCGTCAACAGACCAGACCGCGGGGACCTCAAGCTGTCAATATACCAAACCTCGGAGGCCTCAAGCTGTCAACAGGCCAAACCACGGAGACCTCAAGCTATCAACAGGCCAAATCGCGGAGACCTTAAGCTATCAACAGGCCAAAGCGCGGGGCCTCAGGCTGTCAACAGACCAAACCGCGAGGACCTCAAGCTGTCAACAGACAAAACCGCTGGAGCGTTCGAAAAGACCGGAGCTGTCAGACTTCCCAACATTGCTACCGTGCGGGACAAAGTCATACTCTGTTGTGTTCAGTCTTGAGCACTTGGGACGGAGACGTGCTTACCTTGAGGAAGAGAGTCTGCACCTTGCCGCAGTGCTGGCCGGCCTCCTCTTCCACCAGCGAGTGGAGCAGGTTACGGGCCCGCAGGCGCTGGTAAGCCACTCTCTTGCCGCCGCACACCATCCAGATGAAGACGTCTGGGAGGCTGTGCTGAGGCTGCAGACACGGCACAGCGGCTTTCACACCTAGTCAGTGACATTGCACAGCGGCCATCACGCCTCAGTAAGTAACACAGCACAGCGGCTTTCACACCTAGTCGGTGACATGGCACAGTGTCTGTCACACCTAATCAGCGACACCGCACAACGGCTGTCACAACTAGCGACCAACAAGCGACCTGGCATAGCGACTGTCACACCCAGCTAGCGACATGGCACGGCGGCTATCACACCTAGTTAGTAACGCAGCACAGCGGATGCCACACCTAGCCAGCGACACAGCATGGCGGCTGTCACACACACAGCGACGCAGCACGACCACCGACAGTCATCGACGCAGCACGGGGGCTGTCACGGACAGTCGGCGACAGCATGGGGGCTGTCACGGACTGTCAGTGATACCGCATGGCGGCCTCCACGCACAGTCGGCGACACAGCCCAGCGACTGTCCCAGACCGCCAGCGACGCAGCACAGCGGCCGCACCGTCAAAACCGGAGCAACTAAGCTGAACAGAGGCGGTGATGTTCCGCCCTCGAGTCATGTGTTTTCAGCGCGGGCCTCACGGCCGAGCCGAGTGGTGGATCATACAGTCATCACATGGGAAGCGCTGACAATAGAGCGGCACGAGACGGCGGACTGTGCATGAGTTCCGGGAACTTAAGTTTTGGGTTGAAACGGCCAGCGCTCCCCGGCCCGGCTCGGTCCGCACAGGCCGACCAAGAACAGCAGAGAGGGCGGTCAATCAGCGGCGAAACGGACACGTCAGCACCAGGCAGGCAAGCTGAAGCATGACCTAGGATACATCAGCTGTGGGTGATGTACATGAGAATCAAGCACATACATCAAGTAGGTACATCAAGTAAGTACATATATCAAGTAGGTACATGAGAATTAAGCAAGTGAAATATTATGTCACTTTCAAATAAAACCCGGTGAAAGGGCCTAAAATGCAAAAATAATCGTGTTACAGTAGTATACCGCGGGTCATCATGTCGCTGGTTTTTCCCGGACTTTGACCAGGAAGAGCTCACATTGTTTTTTTTTCCTTGCATTCGAGTCGCTTCCTTCAGGCTACCAAAAGCTGGGCAATCCCGATTCTTTAAATGCCGCACGGCAGTGCACGGGACACACAAAACTAATAAACAGTTGGTTTCCATCGCACTGAAAGCATAGCACGACTAACCATACAATGCAGACCGCTATAAATGACCGTTATTGAAAAGCCTTCTGAAGCCCTACAGTTCCTCGGTGCCAGAGAAGTCCCGACAAACGCTGCCTTTTCACATGAGAGGAGCTCGCCACCAGCAAAAATAGCTATGGATAGAATGCGGCGTTGCTGAAAGCCAGCAGTCCAGAAATGCTTACGGAGTAGCTGCATCTTGGACCGGAGGCCTAGACGAAGGATTATTCTAAGAAAGTCGTTTCTCACTATTGGTTGGCAGAAAGAAGCGAATAAGTTGCTGCAGCCGCATAGCCGACATCGCACATCTGTCAATGTAGTGGCGGTATGTAGATGAAGAAAGTTTTAGAACACCCACCAAGAACAAACAGCATCACAGTTCAATCATAAAAACGCCGGGATAAGAGGTCGGTCGCGAAAATGGTCATGAAAACAATATCAGCATGCCTCAATTAGCGTAAAATTACGAGAGATTCCTGTAGAATTCCCATATGCGTGGTTGTTTGTGATGAAAACCAGAGGATACTGAGATACCTTTCGAGCAAACGGCGATAACAGTTTTTTGTAGCTTTAATTTAGCGTGGGTCCTACAATGCGTGGCTTTCTAGTCCGGCGTGACCCACGGTCGCTGGTCGTTGCTGACCATGTTGTCGCTACAAGCAGCTACAGGCCTGTCGACATGATATGTGCTCTCTCAGCGCGGCTTTCGGGGTTTAAGGAAGTCTTCTCCATTTGTATGGAAATTTCGACTGGGAAAGCCATTCTGAAGAGCATTCGGTGCAGTTCACAGCCCCGCCCTTCTTAAGACTTAAAACCCTCTGGTTTCTAAACTAGATGCTCCCAAATTTGTGCAGACTTTTTCGTGAAGACTACTTCAAGGTCACCTAGGCGCGCATGATGCCATAAAAGCGTTACTTAAATGCTGCTGTCCCGTTGGGCATGCAGCGTTCATGGCCAAGGCACAGAGGATCGTCGAGTTATTCGTGTTTGGCGTACGTGAATACGATTTCTAGAGCCAAAAGGACTTCAGTTGGCTTTCAACCAATAGCATGCATGCAGTGCTAGTTTCAAACACGGATCAAGTTTTGTGCTAAGTAGTACAGAAAGTTGGACAGTAGCATAACTAATACGGCAGTAAGACTTGTAATCTAACAAGGCAAGAATTATGCCATAACCAGGCATGTGCGTGCAAGTACACGATGTACAGTAACGGATTAAGCTGCAAGAACACCACGAGAAAAGGCTACAACACGCGCATACAACGGTATTTGGATTCTGGAAACGCCGCACCCTTTACCACGTCACGTCTCAAGAAGTTGAAGGACCCCGGGTGAGTCAGCCCGTCCGCCTGGGTAGCAGTTTCGCACGGCCAGTTTGGCAGCCGCTCTGACTTCATACATTTCATGGCACAATCGAACGATGATGTATTGAGAAGCATATATACTGAATAGTTAAATTGTGTTGTCTCGAGCAGTCTTCTGCATTTGAGAGCACAACGACAGATACAAGCGGGCTCTTTGCACCACAGCTAATGTTGGTCACAGTATCTTCAAACGTGAAGATATCAAAAGGTGTGTCACCCCTATCGCTGATACGTAATATATGATATAATATGCTAAGGGATTATACAGACATTATTTCGCTCAATGCAAATAGGGACGATATTACTTAACAACATTAAAGCTAGTCTCCTTCCTGGCGTCAGGCATTTGTGTAGCTTGTATCCTTTTACAGCTGAGCTGTTTTCACGCCAAAACCATAATTGCCTTGTACCTTAAAATGGGTCCTATAACTTAAAAAACAGGTAAAACGTGCCTAGCAGAATTATACTCTAGCGAATCGACGTCGAAGACGTGGATTTCAACTGTCTGCCCTTCAGACGTCCGGCTTTATAACGCAAGTGAGGACCAACAGTGAGGCCTCCGCCAGTAAGGACCAGACAATGAGGTCACCAAAAGTGGGGACCATGACACTGAGAAGATCGATGGTGATGTTTCTGACAGCAGGGTCGGATATTGCTAGCAGTTCGCGAACTGTTCGCAAACCATGTTCGCAAATATTTTCCGCGTCCGTTGGCTTTCGCCCGTGTTGTTTTGCACAGTGGTCAGCACAGTGCAGGGCCCGGAAGGGAGAACAGCGGCCCTTAGTCGGCTGCTGTTGCTAAGATCTCATGGAATTGTGCTTGTGTTTGCTCGTGTTGGTTCGCCAGGACCGGCAATATCGAGGATTTGCATTTTGATGCCACGTTTTCCAGCCATGCAGGTATCCAGTTGCTTAGTCACCACTCTGTTTTGATTGCTGTTCAGGTCAGCAGCTTAGCTGATTGCTAAGGCGTCCCTGGGATGGGCCTCAGGCGCACACGATACGCGCAGCGAGATCAACGCAGTGATATCGGCAGACACGAGCGAAATAAGGGCTCAGACGCCAGGAACATGGCAGCAATCCTGCAACGCTGCGGCCGTGCAGGATGCCTCAGAACAAAGGCATTTATTGACGATCCGCTCCATGGCTTTACACTTCCCGACTGTTCATGTCAATGTCGTGTTCGTGTTCGTTTTGGGTTCGTTCGCGTCTTCGGCCGCCGGTCGGCCGGCCGTTTGCGAACAAGACCTGTTCCCGAACGGTTCGTCCGCGTTCGTCAGTTAATCGAAATCGATGGCCGTCCAACGTTGTACTGCAGAGCGCACTCCGACAGTGAGGCTTCCGACAGAGATAACTAGACGGTGAGGCTTCCGACAGAGATAACTAGACGGTGAAAACTGTCCTCGCCACTCACGTCCTCGGTGAGGAAGCGGAGACGCTGCAGGAAGGAGTGGGCGGTCCGCAACTTCTCCTTCACGTTCGTCCCCGTGATCAGCAGCCGCAGACGGCGGGCGCTGTCGCACATGGCCTCCTGCCCAAGGAGGAGGGGCATCAGCTGACGTCGCTTCCCGTTGACCCCTGGTACAGCGCGGTTTTCAAAGCTATTGCCTACTTGTTTGGTTCAATATGCGTTTGTTTGATACGCACGTTCATGCACACCGCGATTTAATCACGTTCGACGCACGCTGACACATACAGTGTTGCACAGGTTGGTGCCCAACATGACTTTTAGACATGACACTGAATACGTATAGTGCAATATGCACCGGTGTTAGTTGACAGTTATTCTGGGCACTGAGTTGATTTGGTCAGGACAGAGCTTGCACACATGTTCATGTGTATGATTCTGCAGGGCACATCCTCGTATTGGTTATTTACTGGCAGAAGACACTTACCCAAGATATCACATGCAATCAACATGTACAAGACCGTCCTTCACAGCGGGTGGACAGCATCCCACGACATTTCTTCAAACAGAACGCTACTCCAAACAACTTAACTGGACAGCTCTCGGTGCATTGAAAACTGTTATGCATTGCACCCCTGTATTCACAAAGATGGTAGCCTGTGCGTAGCGCCTTGAAAAGGAGGTACCAGTCAGCAATTGTACACTTTGTTTGTATTGATACGGTGTTTTGTTTTGGTGAAATAAGTATTGAAGCGCATGGGCTTGCCTCCCAGTTCGGCGAAAATAATCTGCCGATCGCGGAGGTGTTAAACCCCTCTCTCTCTCTCTCTCTCTCTCTCTATCGAGCCGAGCGAGCTGAGATAGAGCTCGAGAGCGAGAGAGCTCGCGCTCCTCTCGCGTATCGCTACTAAATCTCTCTATCGCATCCGAGCTCTCTATCGCGCTCGCGCTCTCTCTCTATCTCTCTCGCTCGATCTTACTCTCCTCTCTCTCTCTTCTCTCTCTCTCTTCTCTTTCTCTCTTTCTTTCAGCCTTCACTCATGCCTCCTCTGCCACTGGCCCATCTCACCGCCTCGCCAGGTCTTCGACGCATCTCTCTCAGCTTTCGCTGCGAGCTCTTCCTCATCCTACCAGGTCCTCCATGCTCTCTTGCGCTTGGCGGCCACTGCTTTCCATTTCCTCTTGCCCCCCTTCCCCTTACTTCTCTCCATCATTTTCCATCCCCTTCTTCATATCCCAACTCCATTCCCTCTTCCTCTCGTCCCCTCTCCCCCTCCTTTTTTCCCTTCCGTCTCTCCCTGATTCGCAAACGACAGTCAAACCAAGCGAACTGCATTCTTCTGGGCCCATCACGATTTAAAAGCGCCCCCAACTTATTATCACGAATACAGTTTCTTGGCTAATGGGTTACACAGCACGTCGGCCACAGGTGACGCGCTCCACGACCTTGACCAAGCCGCGTCGTCATACACTGCACAACACAAAACACCGACATTGGGGCACGTCGAAATCGGATCAGGATGGCGCGACACGCCGCGTGATTGGATCAGGATGGCGCGACACGCAGCGTGATTGGAAATCACATCCGACGCCATCTTTCATACCCGCTCTGCGGGATCATCACTTGAGAAGACGCAGACCCATTGCAAGATTGCTGACAGAACAGAACAGCGGTAGGAGACCAAGAGGTTGTGTTCTGTTCTGGCGCTTCTGTTGAGCGTGGCCAGCTTAAGGTGCGTACGCACGCACAGTTGCGGTCTCAAGGTATCGCCGGCAGCAGCACACTTCGAAGGACTGACCACTAAGTGCCGACGGTCAAACGGCCCCGGCTGGAGCCGCGTAAACATCCGCCTATGGGAGATCGGACCGGATGGTCTAGCTGGATTCCGCTATGCTTTGGAAAACAGACCGATACGCCGTCACGACAGGAGGGAGCTTAGACATTCAGCATCGGGGCACAGCGCCGCTGCACTGGGAAGAGCACGATCACGCAAGGGTCCGGCAGGTGCTGGTGTCGGCAGGTGCTGTTCCTAGCTAGGCAGGAGGATTGAGTCCATCATTCTCAAGGTCACATAGGACTGGAAGGGGAGTTGATGAAGTGGGCAGATGAACATCGGATAAGTAACTCTTGATTTAGATGCCAGTGGGCGCTGTTAAGGTCAGAAATTGGGAGGATTATTGACCTAATCCGGCCAGCTCTCGCTCAGGGGTCATTCAGCCCGTGTGGAGTTGACTGAACTCCATGGCCGCTCGGATTTCAATGTACAAAAAAATTTAAACACCCAGTCCGTGTACATAAATATCCCACACTGGCTGTTTGTTAAGACTCGCCCCACAACGCGGGAGTGGGGAGTGGGGTGGGTTGACTGGCCTCTCTGAGGCTTTTCCCACTTAACTCTTAAACCGCTAGAGATAAAATGTCAATTGCTAAAGCAGCTGAATTCATGGCACTCATATGCGTCCTGACAATTTTCTGTCACCTTTGCCCAAGTAGGTCGTGACCTATGGCGTAAGACATGCGTGAAGGCCATATAAGTCAGGTTTCTAGCCAAAATAGCGACGCAATATATTTGTTGACAGTGCGAGCATGTTAGTTGTTTGTTTTGTTAATATAATGGATTTTGACGTAAGCGATGACTATTTTTGGTGTCAGCAGTTTTTACGTTACTCAGTGTTCCTGAAAGTAAGGGGTCAGGCTCTCAGAGGTCGAGCCAGATCAAACACATCCAATCGCGCAAGTACATAAGATTTATGGCACACGTGCTTAAAAAATGTTGTATTACTATTCACCTCGTCGCAACCGTTTTCACAAACATCACGCAACCAATGACAGCCATTTTCTTGGGTCAAGCTCACGCTGGATCGGCTGAATATAAAACAGAGAAACACAGCTAAGCATGCTTTACACCATGTTTGTTGTAAGAGTACTTAATTGGTGATTTTTATCTTCAATAAGCTTGTCTTATAGGTACTTTGCATGCAGACGACACTGATCTTCCAAAGGTCAAGCAAGATCGTGACCTTAAATTTGTAGTGCCTGCATACTGCCTCTGAGGCGCCCGGACATCGCGATTGCAGTTGTAATATGCATCTAACACAGCTTGCGTGGCCTTGTTTATACTTGCTTTTCATTATGTCACATTATGCATTATGATTATTTTGCAAACCACTGCAGGGCTCTGAAACCTCGTTTGACCTGGCACATTCTTTAATTTGGTTTGAGAGATGTCATCTGAAAACGTTCGTTATATTGCGTTGATTTTTTTTAAAACTCGCATCATAATAAAATTAGGCCTATTATATGACAGATCGTTAGCTTATCATAAGCGATGCGTCGCATCTCTTATCATAGACAGAATAAACACAGATTAAAGGAATGATCCCACTCCCGTTCCGGGGCCTGTTCCAAAATCCACTGAGTTGAACGATTGGGCCCAGCAATCGCTCGTAATGCCATCCAACTGCGCCTCGACATCGTGCAAAACACAATATTGGTAAATATGTGCTATTGATCTTCCACTCTATAACTTTGGATTGCAGCTGCCGACACAACGAACACCAGCGGACCATATTGACTTTTTATTAGCTCGAAGGTATTTGCAATAAGCTCCCATTGTCAGCGTCATAAGCCTTGAAACATCTCGTGAGTTTTGCTGCATACCTTCATAAAATATCCATCTTGAACGCATAAAGCCAAAGCCAGATTAGCTGTAAGGAAATAGTACTGTGGAAATTGCTTACGGCTGTTTTCTTCAACAGAGATAATCGTATCTGATCAGATAACAGATCTGATATGGCGTACTTTAAAAAATTGAGACCAAGCTGGCCACAAATAGTGATGTTGTGGAGAAGCTGTGCAAACAATGTAAACTAAAGAGGCATTTTGAAAAGTGATACCCATGAGCCCAATCTAGCAATATGGCGAAACGTTAGGACGAATTCTCTTTTCAATTATATTCTGGCAGGTAATTGCAACAGACGTTTGGAAATATAATGTTACATTCCGGTTTGTGCGCGCCAACATGGCGATGTGTGCGTTTAATTAAATTTGGGTCTTATGACCGGGGATGTTCGTTTATGAGTGTTTTGCGGGTAGCAGTTGTATTGTGCCGTACTCCTTCCCTCTCGCTGAAACAAATCTAAGACCGCTGAAGCTCTCATCCTAAAAAAACAACATTCAGGCTACCACACACCCGTGGGATGTAACGCGAATACAATCGCTGCTAAGCAAGAACAGTGCTCCACACTACATCACCGAACCCCGCCCAGCCTCACCAGCTCCTGCAGGCACCACTGGACACGCTCCTTGTCCAGGCGCGTGCGGCCGCTGGCCGGCGTACTGGACGACCTCATGACGGAGACGTAGCGGCTGCAGTCCGTGCACAGCTGCTCCAGGCACGCCTTGAGGCAGGTCTCTGCCCCCGGGTCCTCCTCCTCCACCATCTCCTGTGCCTCCGACAGACACTCGTCCTGGCGGTGGACAGGCGCCGCGCGCTGAGGTCACCGCTCCAAACGTCACCCTCTGGTGCGAAGGCTGAGGGCCAACAGCGCCGGTGGCCGGAGCCGCAGGGGCAGGAAACCAACAGACCTAGCGTGGACGTTAACAGCAGAAAAAGAACACGGGTCTGCCGCACTACCGGGGGATAAGACGAGTAATACAAGAAATGCCTCTTGTCGATGAGTTTTCAGCGAGGCTCGTCAAGGTCAAAATCAGTGAGTATCATCATTTAGAATTATAGGTGTATCGAGTGCTACGAATTCAGCACGTAACTACGCCCCAGGCTACCCTTTACTTGATCAGGGCAACCAGCTAGCTAAGCTTGAAGCTAAACAGTAATATGGCGCGAAGCGTACCGGCTCTTTCTCCCTCCGTTAGTGTCGCACATGCAAATCGAGCCAGCTCTACAAAGGCTAATAACCGTCGTTATTAGGCTGAGCCGCAGTGATGGGTTCTGGGCTATCTCTCTGCGGCTCGGGATGAGCTGTCCGCGGCAGACATCTCAGCTGTCGTTGGCTAGTGAGCACTTCCAAACCGATTACATTTTGAGCCACCCGAAATCCTCTCCTCATAATTGCGCGTGACTGTAACCAGAACATGGCCTGTGGACAGGCACCAGCTCCTGCCACCAGCTGAGACCCCCTCCCCCTCCCTCCCTGCGGGCAGACATGCCACGACGGCTCCTGACACCATCTGGGACCCCCTCCCCCTGCGGGCAGACATCCCACGACGGCTCCTGACACCAGCTGAGACTCCCTCCCTCCCCGCGAACAGACATTCCACGACGGCCCCTGACACCAGCTGGGACCCTGGCGGACAGACATCTTACGACGGCCCCTGACACCACCTGAACTCCCTTCCCCTAACGATTTCAGCCAGACCCGTAGGCTCAAGGAATGGGGACGGGTTTGAGACAACTTTAGACCACATTTCTGAGCAAGTTCAACGTCAACACTACGGCACCGTAAGGAAAACAACTGATCAAAACAAGCTTTTATTATTGCCTCGTATACCAAACATGGGCGGTCTTCATTATACCAAGAGATGCTGACGACTGTTAAAGTCAAGATATTGATCAAGTATTGAGATATGCAAAGAAAACATTTCGCGTTTCCGGCAGTGGCCATAAGTACTGCATGCTACGCCCAACATTTCTATGGCTTATGCAATGATCACATATATTCGCTTAACCGGTACTCTCAGTATGCTAACGGTAGGTTGCCCCCAGCGCAGGGACTTATAATGCTACCAGGGAGCTCATACGTTAATCTCGCACAGCGGCGACTACTTTAACACACTACACGGCTCGCACCGCACAGCTGGTGGTGCTGTCTCACCAGCTTCTCAGCGATCCTTGCCAGCAGGTTGGAGTGGTACAGCCGGCGTCGGTGGTCGTGCCACACAGAGCGCACGTGTAAGCACGGCTTGTTGTCCCAGTACGGCAGGAAGTAGTAGGTGCGGTCGTAGCTCATGGGCTTGATGGGCGACGAGGTGGACTGGTAAGGCGGCGTGTCTGTTACAATGTTCTCTAGCCCTGTAAGCGGCAGCAGGCGTCATCAGGTGCTGACGGAGAGCTCGCCGCGGTCACCACCGCAACGGCAAACAACTTACGGAGTGTTTGACGACGGTCAGTGGTTTGATGTGTGATATGACGTCAAGGGTATGACACCGCTGAAATACGGAATGACGTTGGTAGACACGGCATTCGTGCATCACGTGCCGGCCGTCCCTGAAGAGCAGTGCATCAATACGCAATAAAGTTGCGGGCATAGCATTGGCTTATAGGAAGCTCGTTGAATTCATGCATTTGCGAATGAAACTCCTTGTGCAAACCATCCTCCAACATTGAAATGAGATGGGTTCCCGATATATTTTATGAACAGGTCAGCCTCCCCGCTATGGAGCAAACTCAAACAGCCTGTTGGTGATGTTATATTTAATATTATGCCTATCATCTTCCTAAAAGCTCTCAAACAGTTACCACATAAAGCCATTGACTACTGTTATTGCCGCGTTACACATCTTTGTGCCGATAAGTAATTGCCCCCTGTAGCCTGCTATTGGAATATCTATCCAAGTGGTCTTAACGGAAGCCTACTGAGCCCTCATTGACCGTCCATAGATAGGGCGTGGTGATGCGATAGGATAAATCATGGTGTTTCAAGGTCAGAATACGGGCCAAGCTCAGACCACTGGTCTACAATAGGTCTAAGACTAGCGTCTAATGTTGGCGGATTTCTCGAACCAGAAGCCCTCTCATATCTGTTAAGCGTTTCCGCCCGGACTGAAACCTAATCAGGTGATGTGCGTATGCATGTACGTGCGTGTGCATGTATGTGACGTGCGTGTGCATGTATGTGACGTGTGCGTGCATGCATGTCATGTGTGTATGTGTGAGCGTATGTATGTGATGTGCGTATGCATGCATATGTGTGAGCATGCGCCCATATGGTATATGTGACGCATATCTGTATCATGATCACCCCAAAAATAATGAACTTTGTCCTGGGAACATATCAAATCAAAAGCACGTTAATGCTTTGGCCAAGCAATCAACGCTAGATCACAATGAACCAGGCTGACATCCGTTGTGGAGAAACTAATCGACCCTTTCTAGAAGCCGTAAATTTCCGGTCTTCCGGCCAGAACTCAGTGATTGGTGCATGAATCTTGGAATCGAGCAGCGCATTTGTTTCCATGAAACCATCCCTTGCTACAGATATCTGACCACTGGCTGCCAATATATATATATATATATATATATATATATATATATATATATATATATATATATATGCATGTTTGATTACAAATCACTGCTAACTCAGCATTGACGACCTTTTTGACGCATCGTTCTAGTTTCCGGGCCTTTGACTTAGCATCATCGTTTAGATTAAAGATGGTTCGCACAAAATTACTCATACGTTCATCGCTCCTTACATTCTGAACGTTTCGAGATCCTATCTCATCATCGGACAAGACTGAATGACACAAGAAATAAGTTTTGAGTTTTAAAGGATAAAAAATCGTGCACTTCTGTTGGAAAACATCTTTTGGTACGGAGAACATAAATGAAGCATAAGTAATTGAAGTAAGACAGAATCCTATTTTCACTTTGATACATATCAGAAACATTCATAATGGGAACGCTGCAAAGGCACAATGAGAACACTATTGGCACAATCACATCAATAGTGCTCACCGCCCACCACCTATGCTCTGTTTATCGTAAGAAAGAACGGAATTAAAGTGCTGCCAACGATTTTGCACGTTTTTTTGCGCGTGGGTCATTATTCGAGTGTGCTGTAGCCCAAAAATTACCGGCATCGTGACCGGCATCACATTGGTGTTGCGGTAATATTTTACGCAGTGAAAAGTTTTTATATTGTTTTACTTGTATATTTCATTGTCTTTTTAGATCTTTATGTGTTTTAGTACCTACTTACCAATGAATGAAAAATCCAATCTAGCGTCTGGAAGCATTCTTGGGGCACAACGTAGGGAAATTGTTTACAATGTGTATCAACATTTTGTCAAAGACCGGGACATGAAGTTGAAGGCGGGAGACGACAACGCCGTCCGGGAGAGTTCATTATTAAGAACAACAGCTGTAACGGGCGTTGGGAAGACTACAGTCTACCGCATACAACGTGAAGCCCAGAATGGTGCCAGACTGAAGTCGCCAAGCCGATCCCGACCAGCTGCAGCAAGACCAAGGGTGGATCTAGATCCGTTCGATGCTTGCGCGATGAGGAGAATGGTACACCAAATGTACATCGACGGAAAACATGTTACTCTGGACACCATCACGGATGCTCTTCACGAACAGCTCGGCGTCACCATGTCTAAATCCACCGCACGAAAACACCTACTCGCGAACGGATTTAAGTACCGAAGGATCGACAAGCGCAAGATCCTGATCGAGAAACCTCATATTGCAGCAACGAGATGCCAGTTCTTGCGGAAGATGAGGAGGCTGCGTAGAGAAGTTCCCGATAGCAAAATCATTTATACCGACGAGACATGGTATAATCAGTACGATATGGAGGACTTGGCGTGGCTGGACGATAGTCAAATTAACGGACGGAAGAACGCCATTGGAAAAGGAAAACGTGTTATCATAGTCCATGCCGGCTCTTCAGAAGGATTTATACCGTGCGCACTTCTCCACCTCAGGACAGATGGCAAGAACGTCGACTACCATACGTCGATGAACGCCGACTGCTACGAGAAGTGGTTCACCGAGTGCCTGCTTCCGAACGTGCCAGAGCACTCTGTGATCATCATAGATAATGCCTCATATCATTCCCGTTTGTGCCAAAAAGTGCCAACTTCTAGCTGGCGTAAAGCGGAAATCCAGGAGTGGTTGCAGCAGGCAGGTGTGACCATCGACGAAGACATGCGGAAGGTGGAGCTGCTGGAGCTAGTCAAGTCCCAGAACCGGAAGAAGGAATATTTTCTGGACAACCTTGCTAGAGATCATGGTCATCGGATCGTTCGCCTGCCACCGTATCACTGCGACTTGAACCCGATAGAGTTAGTGTGGGCACAGATGAAACGCGTGATAAGACGGGGGAACTTGACGGGCGGATGGAGGAGGTGGAGCGGCTGGTGGAGGCAGGTGTCGCAGCTGTCTCTCCAGAGGACTGGAGTAAGTGCTGTGAGCACGTCAAAAGGCTGGAGCAGCAGTACTGGACGAATGACGGGCTGCTAGAAGATCTCCCACCGGTTGTCGTAACAACCGATGATAGCAGCGACTCCGGCACCGACTCCGGCAGCGACAACGATGAATGAGAACAGCATGACACATCGATCATGAGAAGTGATTCCGTTTCGTTCTTTTCAACTGACTTCGTAGCGTTTACGCGGATGCGGCATGTAGTTACGTGTGGGGTGTTTGAGCTGGATGTATTGCACATATATCTGCAGCTGAATGTTCAGCGTTTTGTTGAATACCTTCAAGAAAACTGAGCGAATTAATTTTCTGTGTTTGGGATTTTCCCACGTTATTCATGAAACAGCACCAGTTTGGAGCAATTACCGAATGAAAGTATAGCATAACTTGCTTCAAAGGTAGACACTGAGTTTAGAACGTAAAAATAATTGCCAACGAAAATAACCCCAGTGCCAAAAAATATATATATTTCGACCAACCATATGAACATGAAGTTGCTGCAAGCAATGCAAACATCCAAAACTGCTATTGCTTCGAGAGATCTGCAGTGCTGTCCTGCAGGCCTTCCAGCCAATTTTGTTGAGTTTAAGAAATTTTTAGCGTGATTAGCGAATGCTCGTGACGAATTGATTGACCAGTTTTAATTCCATTCTTTCTTAAGATAAACGGAGCATAATAGGTCAAGAGTTGTGTAAGAATTTGTATGTCTGTTTAGAGCCGGAGAGAGTTCGCTAATGAATATGCTTTCCCAAATTTGATGACGTCTTCTGTCATTGCACGTCCGTAAAATATCAGTGTTGTCTGTCCGTTGTTGTCGTGTCAATGTCATGTCGTGTTCGCGTTGCATGTCGCCCAGAGGTGCCCCGTCACGTAAGTGCATTGTCAGGCGTCGTGAAAGTGTGGATGTGGTCGCACCAACGTGGTATATGAAAAGTTTGCGGCCTTCTGTGTTGCATTTTAATTGATACACTACAATGGCGCATTTTAGTTTGTCGTGTTTGTCTGGGCTGTTTCTCATAAGAAAGTTAGATATTTTGTTATTGCGATAATAGATGGCGATGTCTATTTTGTGGTCGTTTTTGCCTTTCGCATGTCAAGATATTATTTCCCGTAAAGCTTTTTCGTCTTGTTTATGGGCAGATGTCATTTGATTTTGATAATACAGTTTTGACGGTGGGTTGGATGTCTTGTCTTGGTTTGCTGTCAAAGTGTCTTGTCATATGTCGTACTTCGTTTTCAACGTCAGAATTCGAAAACCGTTGAAAGACAAAAAAACGAATCATATCAAATCTAAATATACATATATATATATATATATATATGTATATATATATATATATATATATATATATGTGTGTGTGTGTGTGTGTGTGTGTGTGTGTGTACGTATATACGTGCTTGATTAAAAATAGCTGCTGACTCAGCATTGACGAGTTTTTTGACGTATCGATCTAGTTTCCGGGTATTTGAATTGGCATCATAGTATAGACTAAAGATGGTTCGCACAACATCTGTGACAATGAAAGAGGAAAAATAAGACAAAAAAAACTTGATGGGAAATTATTTCTTGACATGTTAAAGGCAAAAAACGACCACAAAATAGTCAGCGTCACTTGTTATTGTAATAAGAATATATTTAATGTTCTTATGAGACACAGCCCACACAAACCCGACAAACTAAAATGCACCAACGTAGCGTATCAATTCAAATGCAACTTCGAAGGCTGCAAACTTAGTTTCATACACTACATTGGTGTGACCACAACGACACCCTCACAACGCCTGACAATGCACTTACGTGACGGGGTACCTCTGGACGACATGCGACACGAACACGACATGACATTGACACGACAACAACGGACAGACAACGCTAACATTTTACGGACGTGCAATGACTGAAGACGTCTTCAAATTTGGAAAAGCATATTCATTAACGAACTCTCTCCGGCCCTTAACAGATAGACAAATCCTTGCACAACTCTTGAACTATTAGGTGGTGGGCGGTGAACACTATTGATGTGATTGTGGCAATAGTGCTATCATTGTGTCTTGGTATTGTTTCTTATATGCATCAAAGTGAAAATGAAAATTCTGTCTTACTTCAATAAGTCGTGCTTCAGCTATGTTTTCCGCACCAAAAGATGTTTTCCAACAGGAGTGCACAATTTTTCAGTCTTTGAAACTCAAAACTTATTTATTGTGTCATTCAGTCTTGTCCGACGATGAGATAGGATCTCGAGACGCTTAGAATGTGGGGAGCGATGAACATACGAGTAATTTTGTGCGAACCATCTTCAATCTAAGCGCTGATGCCAAGTCAAAGGCCCGGAAACTAGAACGATGCGTCAAAAAGCCCGGCAATGTTGAGTCCGCAGTTATTTTTAATCAAACATGTATAAAATACTGGATTCTGCCAAAATATTACTATATATATAAACCATAATCACAATCACAATTAAATATATCATTATCACTTAATTTTCGGTAAATTTAGCATGCCCTTGGCCGCTCTCACAGCACCATCATCAAGGCCAGCTCACCAGCACAGACCTGCGCGTTTGTATGTTTTACATTATCACAACCAACACCAGTTCACCGACAATTCAGGCTTACCCGCATATGGTCAGTCAAGAAAAGTCTTCCGAACACCATCAACCAAACACTGCAGTTGGCGCACAGCTACTCCAGGCACGTCTATCACACACGCTTACCTGCAGTCCTCCCTGAGCTATCACACACGCTTACCTGCAGCCTCTCCTGACCTATCACACACGTTTACCTGCAGTCACTCTTGACCTGTCACACACGCTTACCTGCAGTCTCTCCTGACTTGTCACGCACGCTTACCTGCAGTCTCTCCCGACCTATCACATAGACTTGCCAGCAGTCCTTCCTGACCTACCACACCGCCATCATCGTCGACCCGCTGTCTACGCGCGTTACTGGAAGCCCTCCCCTTCAACTTTCCGCCGTCATCGTCGACCCGCTCTCTGCGCGCGTTACTGGAAGCCCTCCCCTTCAACTTACCGCCGTTATCGTCGACCCGCTCTCTACGCGCGTTACTGGAAGCCCTTCCCTTCAACTTACCGCCGTTATCGTCGACCCGCCCTCTGCGCGCGTTACTGGGAGCTCTTCAACTTACCGACGTCATCGTCGACCCGTTCTCTGCGCGCGCTGGGGTTGTGGCCGTCCATCGTGTTGCCGTCGTTGCCGACGCTCAGCTCAAAGTGGATTGGTTTCTCGCCCAGCCGGCGGGGAATCATGGTGGCCTCCAGGATCGAGGCGAACAAGAAGAACTCCTCCAGCTTGCCCAGCTGGCTCTGCTGGAGCAGACACAGTACGTGTGCGCATCGAGCGGGCTCGGTTCACTGACGCTTGCACTACGGCGGGACTGGAGAAACGGCCGCGTTCAGCCCCACTCAACGATGTGACAACGCGCTGTTTTCGGCACCGACATCTGCTCAACCTTCAGATGAGATGCATAAACCTCATCGTCACTTCGTTGGCCCCGCGCCAGCTTATGACTCGGTTTTCACCGAAGTGTGTGGGTGAAGCTCTGCTCCTACATTCATAAGTCGCTCAAGATGGTGGGGCAAGATTTAGATTGCAATCTGCATGGTTGTGCATATTGCATGCAGTATTACGGCTGGCGGTGATTGAGCCTAAATCTGGCACTCGGCAAGGATACATTACGTCTGTTTCATGGAAATTATTCCACCCACTAGCAACTTTGAATGCACTGTGCTGAAATCGGCAGGCCGAATATCAAAATTTTAGTGGCGCGTCTTTAAGTTAACAACTTAGACAACTTGTCGAAAGGTCGCATAACTCTAACTCGTAATAAGGTCCGGCTCAGACACCTCAGAAAAAGTGCCTTGCCTTTCTCAAGATGAAGATCCAACCAAAAGTTTTGAATGTCGAAATTTAATCCATTCCAACCAAATTACGCGCGGAAAGTTCGATTAGAGCAAGGTACATGCAGCCTGGTCAGTTATGAATGGGCTGTATGTGTTCGGTGCTCGCTTTTGTGCGATCCATGTTCAGAAAAATATAATCGTGCACGGTATTTGCATGCGAAATTGATGTGTCTCCCGAAAAGATAACAATAAACTCTTCAGAGTCTCGGCATTCATAACTGTCGCAAAACTTGTTCGTACTACAACTGTGGCTCTATTTCTGTGTGGATTCCGTCCACTAGGATTACCCAAGTGGGTCCTTCAGCTCATCTAGCATCTTAGAATCCATTCCATGATCATCCGGACAAGAATGCCAAATGCTTGAGATCTATAACCAGTTACGTCGGGACCACGGTTATATGGTCTATTTTATATATGCGATAAAAATGACAAAAAATTGAAAGCGACACCAAGACTAAATTTTGATTCAAGTACACAGAAACGTAAGTCACCATGAAGGTAATGTGCCTCCTATCTGGTCATGATGTGAAGGTGCCATAAGTCGCCCAAATATTTAGCAATTAAATTGAATGTTTTGATACACCGCTTCCATAAGATGATCCACAAATCATGTAATTGTCATGGAAAGAACTAATGAGTTAAGCCTGATCCCGGCAAACTCCCAAACTTCTTGTCGTTTTTGTTAACAAGAGATGGCATGGTTTTCAAAATGTCAACCAATGTCCAGAACCCCAGTAACAAAAGTAAGTACAATATTTACCTCAAAGACGGCTATTGAAGTCCACGAAAGTGCAACAGTACAAAGACCAGACTACATAGACTATATACTACAAGGCTATATAATGAGATATGCTATATCTATCGTGTTATAAAATCGGGACCTGGGCACTTCGTTCATGTAGGAGAATTAACACGCGCCCGGGCGGCCGGTTGAATACCCTTCACTCGGGTGGAGGTCAATATGACCCAACTAAGATGTCAGAAGCTAAGAGAGTTACGGACATAAAATTACCACAGTATGTCGGCCTGTACCTGAACTCATTTGTTTCAAAATTCAAGGTTCCTAGTTTATAACCTTCGGGTCAAATAGGGTCAAACGAGGTCAACTACAAATTGATGTTCAAAGTGACCCAGACCTTCTCATATAACCACCGTAAACCTAGATACCTAGAAAAAGGTCACTGGCGTTCATTCAAGTTCAGTGATGTTTTTATCTTTTTCAGGTCATGGTGACCAAAATTATACAAGGCTGTTTTGCTTCTTGCATTTGAACAAGCGCCAAGGATTGCGTTAGACAGCATGTTCCCAAAATCAAAATGTTGACCTGGGTAATTTTAGGTCGATGAACAATTCCGATCTTTAAGAAGTCCACGAAAGACGCATAATTCGGTGCCTGTCATCAATGCATTTGAATTGAGCACCAGAAACTGCCCCAATACGGCAAGATCTAGAGTAAAAAAGAGGTTGGCTTTGGCATTGGTCTGATCTTCATTACCTGAAGCTAGGTCAATGAGTTTGTTTCCATTCACTTGTTTTGCCGTCTAAGAAACTATCTCAAAGATGCACGACTTCGTCTAATAATCTGTTCTTGCATCAGATTGAACGATTTCTTAGAAATTGTCTCCGCTGAGTCCATGGCCTGACCTTGACCTGCCGCAGGTTAACATCCTTACATGGCACATCTACATTTGTCAAACGATGCACTAGCTATTCAATCGCCTACATCTATGCGCCGCGCCATGCGGAATTATTCCGGAAAAACCTTCGGGGGGGGGGGGTCCACTTGAACCATCCCACACGAGCGCGTGTTAAACGGAATGTTTCACATTTATAGATATTCAAGCAAGCACCACAGATGATGAGACAAGCTCACTTATATGTATTGCAATGCTTTTGAAGTAAAAAAGACTGCTCTAGACAACACAATTATCTGCTAAGTAAGTGTGCCGCTCAATGCGTCATGGTTGAACAACATCATAGTACCTCGTACAAATTGACAGCCGGTTGACGGCGGATATATCTGGAAATCGTAATCACGAACGCCAAATACGAACGCCTCGACAATTATCGTTTATTGGCCTTCATCGCCGCATGGCTTATGGAATGGCAGGCTCTGAATGACGTCATTAAGACGTCGTGAATGCCACGATGACGATGAAATACTTTCTTCGATAAACCCTTCCCCATTTTCGCAATTATGTAGCTCAGAAACCAGAGAGACTTAGATCTTCCGAAGGGCAGGATTGTGAACAGCACCGGAAGGTCCTCAAGGTGGTTATTTCAGTTAAAAACCCCCTATAACTGTGGAGCACTCCCTCAAAGTGTCATCGTCCCGTGTCATTCACGTGTCGTCCCACATCACGTCTAATGCGTCCAAAGTTTTGCCCTCAAATAGGTTTTCTGTTTGACGTCCATTACCTGCTAAGCACATTAGACACATTTTTCGGACATGCTTTGAGTCACCTCAGAGAGTAATCTTTTATTTCCACGACGTTTCCAGGCTTTTGGGGAATACCGTAAATAACAGATAGGTGAAAAAGCCAGGAATTTCCAGATTGTCCACAAAATGGTGCGGAGACCACGGTCTAAAAAAAAAAAAACGTCGAGGAGCTTTCGCCCATCAAGACAATGCCACAAATATCCTTAATCCCTAAATACCCTAAATCCCATCAAAACGAATTCCACTAAATCCACTTTCCACTTAATCAGGCAGCAATTGTGCCTACCAACACCTACCCCAACGACAATGCCACATGAGACATTAATGGAGTGTTCTGTCCACCTCATCGCTGCCCGGTAGCTGGCCCCGGCCGGAGCTCATCGTCGCCGGATGGCCGGGCTCGCCAGAAGTGTCCAGCAGCTCCCGCGGCCGCCCGGACGACCCCTGACCTCTATCAAACGGTGCGCCGGCGACCTCCTGACCTCTATGACGGCGGGCGCCGGCTCGACCTCGACTTCTGACGGCGCCGGCTCCACCACATCAGTGACGTCAGTCCTCACGGAGATGAGCAGTTGGGCCCGGTAGCTGATCCCCTCGCCTGGAGATCGATGGTATGGGTGAGACGGCATGGCAACCGACTTCAGTTACCTCTTCTGTCGCCACCGTGCCGTGATGGAGAAGGTACAAAGGGACATCTGGCATGCGTCACACGCTCAGAACACGTTTGGGATTCCACAAGGATGGATGATGACGCTTTGATCAAGATAACCTGCAAGTACACACACACACACACACACACACACACACACACACACACACACACACACACCACACACACACACACACACACACACACACACACCACACACACACCACACACACACACCCACACCACACACACACACACACACACACACACACACAACACACACACACACACACACACACACACACACACACACACCACACACACACACACACACCACACACACACACACACACCACACACACCACACACACACACACACACACACACACACACACACACACACACGACACACACACACACACACACACACACACACACACACACCACACACACACACACATATATATATATATATATATATATATATATATATATATATATATATATATACATATATATGTTTGTGTGTGTGTGTGTGTGTGGTGTGTGTGTGTGTGTGTGTGCGCGTGTGTGTGTGTGTGTGTGTGTGTGTGTGTGTGTGTGTGTGGTGATGCACATCATACATGTGTGCATGCGTGTTTATATGTATGTACAGCGTATGTATGCACTTCCATCCCTTTAGCGATGTCGGGGGATAAGATATGGACAAGGCAGGCGGGCAAGGGGTCTTGGACAGCTTCAAGAAAATCAATCTTGTGGCTTTGAATAAAAAGAAACTAGCAAAGAAGGCACGGAATCGCTAGCTCGAGGATGGGCATACCATCATTCGGTTACCCCTGCGTCTCGTGAAGCCTCAACATCAACCATACGGCGGGGCCTGTATACGACTGATATTAACCTGAGGTTTTCCATCACTTCCTGTAACGTTCCTAAGCCCTTGCTGAGAACCCCATTCCCAATTCCCTAGAGGATCCGACGCCACAGCTGGGACGTTTGCGTAGTTATGCTAGGCGCATCATAACGCGCATTTGTACCTGCGCGATATATTGTATCGTATCTATGAATATATAGATGCATATATATGCATATACATCTATATATTAATATGTACATTATATATATATAGACATTTGTATCTTCGTAGTGAATGTTTTTCACTTATGTACAAAACTAAAAACATATTGGATTTGTATACGAACAATTAACAACGACGCGGAAGCCACCCGGCTTCACAGTTGTGAGTAGTCTATCGTGTGGGGGAGCTCGCTGTTGCTCAGCAACCATGCAGTGCCATGTTATCGACTGTGCCGTTGCAAGGCTCGTTAACACGGCGGATCCGGCGATGAATGGGCAAGACTTGACATGGTTGCATGGAGGAACGGGCTTAAATCGTTCGTGCGTAATCGTTTGCGCACGGATTGTAATCGTAATCGTTTGCGAGCGGATATGAACTTCGAGGATAATTTTGTAGGCTAACGTCACGACAAAGGTCCCTTCCATCGGTCGCACACTTGCAGGGTGGAATGAATGACTCGGCCCACAGCGACAACTTTCCCGGCAGTTGACGGAGCTTAGGCCCCTCCCACCGGTCCGCCGAAGCCGAAAGACTGCACCGCGGTTTGTGAAATATATATATATATATATATATATATATATATATATATATATATATATATATATATCTGCCGTCGGACGTCGTTCGGCCATGTTTCAGAATCACCACAGGCATGCTGTATTTAGTTTTCAGGTCCGACATAGTTCCGAAAATTGTCTGCAAAAAAGAAAATGATATAACAGGACGTTTCACGCCTGCAAGAAACCGTAGTACGAACAAAGATCACCCAAGCGCTGCATGAAAAACAGGGACATGGAGGATCTTCGGCACACGGCGAGGTAAGTAGAAGCAGGTTCGTAGTAAATGTAAGTAAGTAACCCAATTAATAAGGGGCGGATGTGATTCAGGAATACCGTTACTATCGACACTCGTCTTCAATTTACCACTGGCGTATTAGCATTGCATTGGTGCTTACTAACAAAGGAAGATGCAGGGTGCATTTGTAGCTGTTTCCGTGGGTATTGCTTTCAGGGGCATATGCAGTCATTCGGAATGGGGTGGGGGGGGGGGGGAGGGAATAAAGAATATTCACTGGAAAAAACATTCGAACGCTTTGCAGGTTCGTAAAATGCATTGCGTACCTTATAAGATGACCACACGCTTGCCATGCGTCCAGTTTCACGTGTCCTTGTTCATATACTCAATGCTATAATTTTTTATTGTTGATTATTCTTCGCACGCACATCACTGCGCGATAAAACAGAGAGGGGCGTGCATCTCGATATGGCTCTGTACCCCCACCCCACCCCACCTCAATTAAGTACGCCAGTGAATGAAATGATTACCTTAATCATACGAAAACCCTCTAGCCCGCACACAGCCTTGCCGCCCCACCATTTTCTGCCGTCGTCCAGCGAGTCTTGCCGGGCAGTGCGGTGACCGGCCGGCGGCCGGCCAATTTCAGGGCGGCGGTCAGTTGTGCACTGCCAGCAGCAGTCGCCCAGCAGCGCCAGCTCATGAATGACGAGCTTGATTTATCGCATGGGACGCCGATAAATAAGCAGTCCAGTCGGACTCGGCCGGGCGGCCCGACCGGTAACGGCACATACTTCATCATAGGACGCCGGCCGTAACCCCGATGGCGGCCACCGGCCAGACCGGAGCTTATACACCCCTCTCTCCCGCTGCTGTGCACTGGAGCTAGAGCCGGTCTAGTCAACGCAAGCGGCAGCGGCTGCCACACCACCGGTTGACGATTCATAAGGTAGAAGTGTGGAGGAGGATAGTGAGCAGTGCAGAGGTTTTAAAGTAAACGTTCCACATTTGAAGGTATTGAAGCAAGCATAAGACATGATGCAATCGGCTCTCTCAAAACTATTGACATACTTATAGTGGAAAAGACTGCTCTAAGACAACGCAAGTTGTCTGTTTAGTAAATATGATCACCATTACCCTCACTGTTTGATTATGTCATTGCAGTTCGCACAACGATGATTGGGAGCCAATAGACGGCCGTTACATCTGGAAAACGCGCTCATGAACGCCAGATATGAACAACTCGACAATTATATTTTTTCTTGGCCTTGATCGTCACATGACGAATGAAACGGCAGGATTTTAATGGCGTTATTGTGACGTCATGGATGCCTGGATGACCTTGAAATAGTCTGCACGAAATAGTCTGTACATTTTCGCGGGCGTGTGGCTCAGATTCTAGAGGACCTTCAGGTCCTACGTAAGGAAGGGCTTTGAACTGCACCGAATGACCTTCAAGGATGGATATTTCAGTTCAAAACGCCAACAAATGTGAAACACTCGCTTAAAGGGGCATTTTTATCAGACAGACCCCAGGCGCCATGCTAAATTGCAGGCCCTGTGTGGTACGTGCTCCCAGCTCCCTTGTACCATAAGAAATCTTGAGCTATTACTCTCGGGCACCGCTGAAAAAAAATGTTCTCGGGGTGAGTCGGCGAGCTGTAGATGACAATGCTCAGTATGGCATGGTACGTTGTCATGAATGTCTTCCCGGAAAGCTACATCAATGCTTCTATTGATATTGGGTCTGATTGGAGATCCATCCGTGATAGAACCTGCGTAATTGCTTCCGCTTTGTGCCTGTCGAGGTAAAGAATTAACTGAATGGAGTAGATCCAACGGTGTGCTTTGTGAAACAATATCAGGAGAAGGGCCATTGCGGCTAAGAGCGTTCAACGTCTTTTCGGTTGCTTAGCAACGCTCAAACGCTGCAACCACAAATGTGATGCATAGATGCACCCAAGTAGCACTGTGCGAGTGCTCTAAAGGAAGGTCGGCTAACGCAAGGCTCTATCTACCATGCGCGGTCATCTGGCGATTTGACCGCTAAGTCACGTGGTCCCGTGACGTCATTGGTTGCTCATAATGTCGGTTTGGTAGATGCACTGCGAGGTGAGCATGAGCCGCCTGACCGAACAAGAGTTGACATCAGTGGGATAAGTGGCGCTGTGACGCCTCTTAAAGGGTGATAGGGGGTCTCAGCCGACAGACCGGGACGGCAGCTAAGCGACCGAGCGGGCCGCGGAAAGCCAACTGTATAGGATGTTCGAGCAAACAAGACCAATGTGGTGGGCCCCTGAACGATCGGGAGTGCTCCGGTAGGTTAACATATAGGGCTCCGACCAAAGCACAGGGCTTTGTGAGCACAAACACGGGAGGAAGTCATGGCCAATCTGGAAGACTCCTGAACGATCGATTTCCTTGGCAGATCAACATACATATGATCCCCGACAATAGTGCAGAGTCCTCCGAGCAAATACAAAGTGCCCAACACCGATGCGGCAAGCTTCTGTGGGTTCAAAGGTGCCCGGGGAGGTTAACAGAAAGGACACCGACAACAGCGTAGGCCTTCCTAGCAACTGCGAAAAGTTCAAGCGCAACATGAAAGGCTCCTTAATGATTGAAGCGCCCCGGTTAATGGACATATAGGGTCACCGTCAACAGTGTCGGGCCCTTCGACGGCGTCATGAGCCCTAAACCCTCCCCAGTCAACGATTCTCTCAATCAACGAAAAGTTACTGTTGTCTGCTTAACGACTTTTAATGTTCGATTGGAGCCCTTCCTGGTGGCCTGCAGGCCGAAAACAACCATTGTTTTGTGTGCATGTTAAAGGGGGTGTTTCACATTTGCATTTGGTTTTGAACGGCGACATCAGTTTGAAAGACCAACTATTGACGTTCATAGTCGTGCCCTTTTGAAGACCTAAACCCCTCTTGTTTCTGAGCTTGACGGCCGCGAACTTCCGCATTCGCGAGCTTGTACGAACAATTTCGTTCAGACCATTTCAAGGTCACCAAGGCATCATTACGACATAGAACGTCATGTGAATACAGCCACCCCATTGGCTATGTGGTGCTCG